TTATCTCTTATCTATACTTGTGTACGTGCTCAAGTCTAGTCCAGAGTCAGAAGCAGGACTGGGGTCATGATAGTGGGGGGTGAAGAACCCTCAAAGAACCAGAGGAATATTGTGTGTTCCATCTGTGTTTTACTGCACCTTGATTGACTCATCCCTTCCCTGTAACCCCTCTGTGGGGGGATGTTCCATTATCTACAGATGGGTTTTTTATCTCTGCTCCAACCCCCCTCATTCTCAACAATATGCTTTTGTTTGTTTATTTGTTATGTATCTTCTGATGCCTGTTACCTGGTCCCAATGACATGTCATGATCACAATGGCTGGTGTGCTTCTTCCATGTGGGCTTGTTGTTTCTCTGCTGGATGGCCACTTGTTTACTTTTTACCTTCAAGTCTTTGAGGCCCCAGATGCTACATCTTTTAATAGCCAGACACCATCCACCTTCTTAACCACATTTGTTTATGCACCCATTTTGTCTTCAACAATTGTGCTAGGTGAGTAAGCATCACAAAATGCCAGTTTGTTGGAACAAAGTGTTCTTGTATTGAGGGAGGGTATGAGCAGGGGCCAGAAGTCCGTCCACTACCTCAGTGTTTTGCCACATAAATATATGTACATAGGCCAATACCTCTATTTTTGTGGATTAATGTATTTACATATGTACACATCTATGCTTATACCTCTATCCATATTTTTGCTCCCTAGATCATTCCTCTGTTTCCTTTTGCCTTCCTCCTGCACCACCATCACATTCCCCCTACTTCCGCCTCTTAGTACTTCCTCGCAGCTAGATTGCTGTTGCTCTAATACCCACAGGATATCTACATCCTCGTTGTTGATTTTAATTCCCTAGTTGTTCCTCTGTTTATGGTGTTGTTTACTCACCACACCCTTCCCCTGCCACCTTCTCTCCCAAAGTCCCTCCGGGACCATCATTCCCATTGCTTTCTCCTGGAACTTGCTTCCCATGCCTGTCTTATATAAGTAGGCAAACCAACAATGATATAGACCAAACCATAAGAAAACAACAGATGGAAACAAGAAGGGGGTGGTGGAGAGAGAAAACACATAATTCCAGGTCTGATTCTCTCCCCTCTGGTTCTGGGAGAATTCCTGGAGCTGCCGTTCCTAGCCTGAAGTCTTTAGGGGCTTTGTGACTTGGCCTTGCTCCAGTTGCTGATCTATTCTCCCTTCTTGGTTTGCCCCGTTGCTGGGGTTTCAGATCGCATGACTTCCCTACTGTGTGTCCCAGTATTTTCCTCTGTCGCGGTATGCTCCAGTAAGGGGACAACATGTCTTGGGCTGTTGTTGGCCCTACAGTCCTCTCTGTCCCTTAGCAGCTCCATGCAGGGACATCATCCTTCGGGCTTGGTGTGCCAATATGGGTCTAGGCTGACCGTCCCTTTCTCCTTTTCATTCTTGGTTTGCTTCCATAAGGGCATGACATGTCGGCCCCTCTCCCCAACGTGTAGGCTGAGTGTTGTTCTCTGTCGCACTTAATTCTAGGGAGGAGGTCAGTTTAGCTCTGGTTGGGGACATATTCATTTTTATTTCCACTTGTATTTCTCATCACCCATTGCTACCAAAGTCAAGTCAATTCTGACACATACACAGGGCTTCTTAAGTTTTTTCCATTCTCAACCATTTTTCACCCAAGAAATTGGAAAAAAAATTATTTTGGGGACTTGTACAATTCTCATCACAATCCATACATATACATCCATTGTGTCAAGCACATATGTACATTTGTTGCCCTCATCATTCTCAAAACATTTGCCTTCTACTTTAGCCCTTAATATCAGTTGCTCATTTCTCCCCTCCTTCTCCGCTCCCCCTCCCTCATGAACCCTCCATAATTCACAAATTATAGTTTTGTCATAAGTTACACTGTCCGATGGTTCCCCCCGCCGTCTTCTCTGCTGTCCATCACCCAGGGAGGAGGCAATACTTAGATTCTTGTAATCGGTTCCCTACCCAAGGAATTTTTATGTGACCCTGGGTATACAAGGGAGTACCCCCCAAGAAATGGTGCCCCCCCCTTTTTTTTTTTAAACGTGAGGGGGATAGTGCATTTGTGACCTTCCAGCAGGTCAGACTGTTAATCAAGCTTTCTATTTAAATGTTCTGAAAAGAATGAAGAACTGTGTGACAAAAAAGGCCTGATTTGTGGTAGATGGGTTACTGGTTTTGCCATCATGACAATGCACCTATTTATGCAGCCATCTCAGTGCACCAGTTTTTGGCAACAAATAGCATGTCTCTCTTGCCCCATGCACCTGACTCACCTAACCTCGCTCTGTGCGCCTTGTTTTTGCTTCTGCAAAAGAAGAGGGACATGAAAGGACAGTGATTTGATGGATGTATAATAAGAAGGAAAACAAGGGAGGTGCTGTCAGCCATCCAAACAGATGAATTTGAAAATGTTTCTAAGAATGGAATCGCAGACTTGACAATTGTATTAAGTATAATGGGAGAGTACTTTGAAGGTGATAAGATTGTTTTGTAAAAAGAATTTAAGTACATAGTTTAAAAAATTAAATACAAGCAAATGTTTTGAGAATGAGGATGGCAACAATGTGCTTGACACAATGTATGGATGTATGGATTGTGATAAGAGTTGTATGAGTCCCCAATAAAATGATTAAATTTAAAAAAATTAAATACATAAAGAAATTCCCTTAAAAAATATAAAAAAAAGAAAAGAAATTCCGTTTCAGGGGTAGCGGGGTGGTATCTCCTGGTATGTGGGAAAGAGGCACATACATCCTTATAATGACTGATAAACCACAATATTTGTATTTTAGTGTACATGCACAGGATACCATTGCTGAATTTTAGTTTCTGTTATGAACTAGCAGGAACCCTAGTTTATTTTCTCACTGTCATCTGTCATCAAGTTGGCCCCAGACTCATGGTAATCCCAAGTTCAAGGGAACTAAATGGTGCTCTCTCCTGCACTGTTCTCATAATCAGTTGCAGGTGGTGCATTATGATTAAGAGTTATCATTACTGATAGATAGACTTCAAAAAGTGTGAGAAAACAATTGGAAAACTTCCACAAACTTTGTGAAGTCTCATGTAGATCACCAGGCCTTTCTTCCTAACCTGTTTAGTCCAGAAGCTCCACTCAGACTTGCTCAGTGACGCAATACACAAGCCTACACTACAGGTGCTGGCTGCTCATGAGGTGTCTTGAACAGGAATTGAACTTGGATCTCCTTGATGGAAGGAGAAAATTCAACCAGTGAGCCACTGTTACCTCACCCCAGTTTCTATAGCACTGGGTTTTCAGAGATTTGGTCTCCGTTCTCTTAGTTACGGTGGACTGGTGCATAATGTGAAACCAAATTGTGAATACTTGAAAACTATAAGATAATCTTTTTTATTAGAAGCGAACAAAAGACACTAATGGGTAAGTTTACTTACTCACTTATCCCAATATACCCAACAAAGAACTCTGGTAGCACTGTCAGGTAAGCATTGGATAGTTAAATGCAAGATCCGAGGTTCAAACCCATCAGCTGGAGAAAGATGGCCATCTATTCCTTTAAAGATGTACAGCCTTGAAAACTCTACAGGTTGTTATGAGTTAGAATCAACTAAATGGTAATGAATTTGGTTTAGATTAAAAGGCCATTAATTATTAATAAGGATTCTAATACCTGGAAAACATATTTTGACTTTTTTTTTAATTGGGGGGCTCATACAACTCTTATAACAATTCATAGATCAATTGTAACAAGCATTTTTGTACATACCATATATATTCGTGTATAAGCTGAGTTTTCCAGCACATTTTTAATGCAGTTTTTGTGGTAAAATTAGGTGCCTCGGGTGATAGTTGGGTCGGCTTATACTCAAGTATATACAGTATGTTGCCATCATTATTTTCTACAACATTTACTTTCTATTTGAGCCCTTGGTATCAGCTTCTCTTTTTCCCCCCGCCCTACCCCACTCCCACCGTTGTGACCCCTTGATAAATTATAAATTATTATTTTCATATCTTACACCGAGACATTTCTTTTTATTCTCACTGAGAAAGGAGTAATTTTGAACTATTATCTTAAACTTAGTTTAAATAAGGTCAGAACCAGGAAAAATAGGAATTTTAATGAGCAAATATCTTTTTTGCAATAAAGTGATTGAGAAAATTGAACTTTAAAATGAGAACCCTTTTCTCCCCTCGTGGGATTGGGAAGTAACTTTTGCTGCTCTTTTTTCAACTGTTTTAGACTTTATGTTCTTTTGATTGCTTTTAGGCTATTTCATCTGTGCGGATTACCAGGTCAAGAGCCAAAGAGCAAATGGACCAGACTAAGGTATAGTTTATAATTAGTGGATGCTTTTATTACTAAAATGACTAGTTCTCCTCCCACCCTCAAATTTAAGTAAATTCATTTAAAATATAATACTATCTCAAAAACATCGATTGTTTGCTAGAGTTAACAAGTACCAAAATCATTGGTATTGGTATGGTGAAATACAGTAGGTTTTGACTATATGCAAGAGAAATATTTCATTATAATATTCTTTGCCCAAGCATCCTTAAGTGATCTATACCAAATTGCTTTTTATGTTCCCACTTGAAATGAGACAGAACATGAAATACATGGTTTGGTGTTAAGAGTTTATGGGTTTTCAATACACTATTATGGCTAAGGTGGGTTCAGAGAGTTACTAAAGTGGACAAAGAGGGAAGTAATACCCTCTTTATCATATGAGGAAGCTAAGTTTCAGATAGTCAATAGATTTGGGATAACTGCCATGTCCTGGTACTGCTCTAGGCTCTGGAATAGCGTGAACATAGCAGTCATGCTCACAGATAGGATGAGATCAATAACAAATCAACATGTATCTCAGATGGCCATTGTACTCTGGAGGGAAAAAAGGAAAGGGAGGTACAGGGGGTACTGGACGTAGAAAATTTGATGCATGCAATCAAGGAAGATCTCACTGAGAAAGTGGCTTTTCCTTTTAACAGCTTTATTGGCACATAATTCACATATCATACAATTCAATTGTTGAGTCAACTCAAGAAGAGTTGTACAATCATCACCACAATCAAGTTCTAGAACATTTTCTTCATTCTTGTACTCATCATTATTTGGTCCCCATTTCTCCCCAACTGTCCCTGCCGTACCCTAGGAAACCATTAATCCAGTTACTATCTGTTTAGATGTACCTGTCCTGGATTTCATATCCAGAAAAACAAAAGCAAAACAAAAACCTAACAAGAATAGCAAAGTAGATAAAAATCACAATAGAAAAGAAAGCAGACTACGTATATTAAAAACGAGAACAAATTTAAAATGGGTCGTAAGGGAGATCAAATGATAAGATGCTAAATTTTAACCTGACTGCATCAGCAATACCCCACGTTCCAATGCACTCTATATGACAGCGAGGCTATTGACGGCTGGTCTGTGACCAGAGGGGATTCTTCAGGGGCTTAGCCCATGAGTATTTCCCCTTTACTTTTTAAACTAACGATAGTGGCATTTTATTTATTTTTTTGTTTGTTTTTTTGAGTGAGTGAGTGAGAGAATGAGTGAGTGAGAGAGAGTGAGTGAGAGTGAGTGAAGAGAGTGAGTGAAGAGAGTGAGTGAGTGAGAGTGAGTGAGTGAATGAGTGAGTGAGTCGATAGTGGCATTTTAAATGAACTTTTTATTCTTTAATAAAACCGCGGGGAAGAACTTTCTATTTAGGATAACTTTCTAGACCAAATCTAAAGATTTTGCACTGAAAACATGTCTGAATTATTTAAGGATCCTTAAGGTTATTTTTAATAGCTTTGGTTATTAGCATTTCCTAAATTCTGAAAGGGATGTTAAGAAATGTATATGATAATTTTTTTCTTCATCTTAATGTGGGGTAAGGTTTTTTTTGGTTTTACTTTTTGTAGATTGGTCGAAGGTTCACAAAATAGATCATTTAGGGGATTTTTTTTCTGGGTCATTTAGAATTAGGAGATTTCAAATGAGAGACACTTAAGAGATCAAAAGTGTAATTTGATTAATTATGCAATTGAATCAGATAACTCTTAATGTTTTAAATAGGTCAATAATGGGAGGACCATTCAAACAATCCAACCTAGTCAAAGACCAACTTCTGAAAAGAAAGTGCCAGACAAAGAGAAAAAAGGTAGGAGTATCCTTAATTATGAGCTCTGGTGCTGCCACGGAAATCCTTTAATAATTTTAATACATTTGATTTTTTAAATTTTCTGTGCTCACAGCTGTAAAACTGGTAGCTCCTACAGCAGTGAGAATAACTCGATCTGCTACTCAAGCAACAAACCAAATTCCCAAAACAGCCTCATCCACCACCACAAGGAGACCAGTCTCCAGAGCTACTAATGGTAAGAACTATTTCTTGATCCGAGACTAAAGTGGAATGCTTTCATCCTTGAGGTTTCTCTGTTCAATTGTCAAAATCAAGTCCTTCCTAAAGTAGAAGAGAAGGAAGAGGAGGTTCTGATTTCTGAAAAGGTGTTCTTTGCCTGGACATGCAGAATGGTGCTTAGCACAGTGTGTTCTTAAATGAAGTCCTTGGGTTTGGGTAGGCAGTGACTGCTTCGAAGGAAAAATTGAATGGGCCAAATAGATTAGTTCATCCATTTGGTGGTGTACTATGTAGCTACTAAAAACAATGTTATAAAAGAACACAACATAATTTATGATATCTTAAATGGGGAGGTGGAGGGGAGTTTGAATTTTGAACAGTATAGTAACAATCCTAATAAACAGTAATCGGAATTTGTGAATATTGGAAGAATATCTAAATGCCAAGAATATTACTAAGTAGTGGAATGTTGGTTGGTCTTTTTGAGGTTTTTTTTTAAGGGGTGGAGAGAGGTTTTATGTAATTTCGCTTCGTTTCTCTGTATTCTCCTAATTATCTCTGATAGATACAAATTGAGTAGTCAGAGAAAAAGGTAAAACGTCATTTCTTTTAAAGAAAGTGGCCTATGCTAAAGAGGTCTTCTGTCTGCCTTTATCCTATTTTTTTATTATGACTTTTAATCATAACATCATAACTAATGTTGCTGTTATTGTTAGGCACTTTAAGTTGTACATTCCTATGACTGCTTTTTTCTTTCCCAGTTTACTCAGTTTTAACGCAGTATTTTATCTAGTACGGATATCTTATTTCATTTTTATTTTAGGTAATGAACTAGAAAGAAAGTTACCAATTAAAGGAAGACCTGTCAAAAATACAGAACCAAACCCTGACAAGGTAGAGTATGAACACTTACTTAATTCTTGAAACTGAAAGTCTCATAGCTGCTTTTTGAAAGTTGAAATTAAGCACTGCCATCGAGTCAGTGCTAAACCATAATTGACCCTGTTGGACAGGGTATGACTGCTTCTGTGAGTTTCTGATTCTGTAACTTTTTTTTTTTCCCTTCCAACCAATGGCCTTACATTAGTTATTGTTTAAACTCTCGATGTGGATGCATAAAAACCAAGGAACAAACCAGATTATTTGCCTTTACAGGTTGAATTGATCAATGGTGGCAAAAGTCTTCAACTCAGTATGAACGACCGCTAGTGAGCCTGGGCAAAGGCGGCCGTGCATGCCATCCCCCAGGGGGCTCATTACAGACCCTGCTTGGTTCTTCTCCAATGTCTTCTCTTGGAGTTGTACCTGATCTTATTACTGGTTTTCATTCGAATCCATTGGGGAATGGTCCGATTCTGCTTCTGTTTCTTGGCCAGGAATCTCTTGATCCTGAAAGTCTTATGAGATGACATGGTGAAGTCAGAACCACCACACTCAGAATAGGCGAGAAACTGAAAGCGATTCCTTAACTCTTTACAGGAGAAGGAAGCCCCTTGATTCTTCTGCAGA